CCAATTACTGCCTCCAACTTACTGGTAACTTCCCACTACTACCTCCAACTTTCTAGTCACCTCATTCCACTACCTCTTAACCACCTCGTAACCCTCTTCCATCATCTCCTTGGTAACCTCATTCCATAAGCTCCTAACCACCTTGTAACCTTCTTCCATTAACTCCCAGCCGTTTCCATTGCCTCTGGACCAGGTTCCACTTGCTCTGAACTTCTTCCATTGCCTCTGGACCAGATATATTGTTTACTCCGACTTGTTTTCATTGTACTCCTAGCCGGTCCACGGGGATGTATCCCCAACAGCCTCGAGTTAAATAGAATCTTCGGTTTTCCTCTTGTTGGTTTGTTCCATGGAGCTTTTTGAATAAAACATGAGAGTGCATAGATCCTCCACTAATGTTAAGTACAAAATTATTAACCCAGGTCCAACGGAGGTAGTTATCCCATGATCTGTGGAAGCTGATGCTTTCTATCTTGGGTGTGTTCGTTTGTAGGATTTTGTCAAAATCCTACTATTCATCCAAAAATTTCCCCCAAAAAACATCAAATCAAACACCTATTTTTTATTTTTTATATTATACTAAAAATCAATTTTACATTTAAAACATCACATTAACACTTATTTATATCACATCATACAACTATTCAAATTCAAAATTTTTACCATTTAAATTCCAATCCAAAATCCAAACCCCCAAACAAACACACCCCTTGTAGAGCCAATCTTCCTCTGCTTTGTGGAAGCACCGCAGTCCAATGGAGGTACTTGTTTTCAACCCAATTGAGACAACACTTTTTGACCTTATGTAAACATTGTTCCGGGATGGAGTCGCCATAGTCCAAAGAGTTGCTGCTCTAAGGTCCATAATCCAATGGAAACTGTTGCCTTCGGTTATATGGAAGCAGCAGTCTTTGGCTCTGAGGCTTGAAACTCCATTGCTGTTGAGCGGCTCCGTGGCCAATGAGCTTTGGCACCATTTTTGTCTTTGAGCCTCTTTCTCGTTCAGGTGCTTTTGGACCCATGTCCAACAGATCTCATAAAACCGGGTTATTCATCACAATAAATTTTTAAAATCGATGTTCCTTTTGGAGACACGCTGGTCAATTTGAATGTGATACTATTATATAATACTACTTTCGTTCGGCTCTAAAAGTCTCATTTATTTTTTTTATGTTGATCCTTAAATATTAATTATTATAGCAAAACGTAGTACAAATTAAAGAAAAATGACAAAAATAATTCTATTAGTGTCTTATAATACTATTATAATGACATTTGTGAAAAAAAATTATACAAATTATACTAATATTTTTAATTAAAAAAAAAGTAATAGTACTATAAATAATCAAAAAAGGAAAAAGTTATAAAAAGTTTCCAAAACCTTTATGGTGAAGATAGTGGCAATGATTGAAATCGCTTTTGATAATCTACCTGCTTCGATTTTATTAATTATATATTCATTCTATAAGTAAAAATTTGTATTCTATTGCATAATTGTACTATATTAAAAAATAATATTTCGTATTTATTGATTAATAAAAATATATTAAATAATTTTGATCATTTTTATTTTTATTTATTTTATATATATAACAATATATTTATAATTTATATAAAAATAAAAAAATATTTTAATATTAATATGTAATTACTCTAAAAAAAAATGTTAGCACATAAAGAAATATCATTTTTCTTTTTACTTTGCTACTAAATTTATATAATACAGATAAATATTAATATTGAAAAAATTAAAAAGTAAACTAATACAGTGTATACATAATAGAGTATTTTTAAACATTCACAAGTAATGGTCATATATATAATTTTATTTAGGGTGTGTTTGTTTGGGGGATTTTGTGGGATTTCTACTATTCCCACAAAATTTTTCCTCCAAAAATATCAAATCAAACATTTATTTTTCATTTTTTATATTATACTAAAAATCAATTTTACATTCAAAACATCACATCAATTCTTATTTATATCACATCGTACAATTATTCAAATTCAAAATTTTTACTATTCAAATCCCAACCCAAAATCCAAACCCTCAAACAAACACACCCTTAGTAAACTTTGTTATATTTTTAAAGTATATCTGTGATCTATAGAAATATATCTGGTACTTTATAAAAATATATTTGATATTTAATGTAATATTTCTTTCATCAAGTCAGAATATATATATATTTTTATTTTAGTTGTCGAATTATAAATAATTATTTAATTAAATACCTAATTTTTTTTCAGTAATATTTCTACTTTTAATCACATCATTATTTTTAAACAAAAAGCAAATACAAAAATATCATTACATTACTTTTAACTATCTATTATAATTAAAACACTAGTAGTATGTGTAGACACTAAAAATATATGTCTAAAATCAATTAAATATCATGTATTTTGGAAGAAAATAAAATTCCAATAAAATAAATATATTGTATTTAATTATGCACATATGTTAATTTTTGTACAATAAATATCAACCATTAGTGCAAAATCTGCTTAAAATGGAAGATATCGTACAAATATTACGTGCATAAATAGAGCCATAATAAATTTGGCAGCAAAATAAATTAATCTTGTCAATAAAGGAAGTATATAAATTAATATCTTCCAAACGAGGCAATGATATAAAGGTCTTGTCAATAAAGGAAGTATATAAATTAATATCTTCTAAAAAAGGCAATGATATAAAGATTTTGACGAGAAAGGAAGGTGCATAATCAAATCCGTCAAAAATGGAAAACGGCATCCGAGGGAAAAGGAAAGATTATAAAATCTTTCCATCCACGTGGCACCATCCGAAAAGGAAGCCAAGGCCACCCTCCCCTATAAATAGGAGCCTTGGCCAATTCATTTACACACCGAAGTTCATTTGAAGACTCGCGCAAGGGTAAGTCTCTCTAGACTCTCTGCAATGTTCTTCATTGTTCTTCGTGTCCTTCGAAGCGTTCTTCGTCGAAAAGTCACCGATTTGGACAAATGATCCAATATTGGTTGACGAATCAATGAAGTTAACGTTCTTCGTCGTATGTCCGAGCCGGAGGAAGGATCAAATCTCTCAAAGCTATCGAGGAATCCATCAAAGCCAAGGAAGAGCCTCCAAAGTCGCTCCCAAAGCTTGAAGATGTTCGTCGCGTTCTTCATAAAAGGCGCAAACCAGGCCCTCTTCGATCCAAAAGTCAAAGGGACACGCCGCCAAAAGCGTTATGGAGCACTAAATCTCTCCCTCAAAGATCAAATTCCGTCGGATCATCCAAAAGAGGCATCAATCCGAAGCCGACGATCAAAATCGCCAACATGGATACCAAAGTCCTTCAAAAGCCGGCGAAGTCAAACCGAAGACCAAAATCCCTTCGGATCAGAAAAGCCATCGAAAATCAAGTTGAAAAATGGATCGACCCGGAGAGAGAATCAAAGGATCCGAATAGAGAATAGGACCCGCATTAAATTTAAATACAAATATAATTTGTACAAATTTTGTGTTTATAAAAATATAACACAATTTTTTTTGTCTACAGTATGATTTTTTAAACTCTAAGTTAAAAGTAAATATTTACTTTTTTAATTGAACGGAGATAATATATATTATATTCTATACAATATTGTTAGTTTTTCAAATAATATCAATTTAAAAGTCCATGAATAATAATTAAAAGTATAAAAAACATCGATCAATAATACAGAAAAGTACACATTTTAAATATAATTATATAATATTTAAAATTTTGATCGATATCATCTAAAATATTGAACAATACGTTTTGATGACTTAAATAATATTTAGGATTTGTTTATTCAGTGAAATGATTTAATTTAATTTAATTTTTTTTTATAAGACAAAAGATTTTATAATTAATATAAAAATAATGAATATATAAAATTTATAGAGTATTATTATTTTTTTTTTGAGAAAATATATTTTTGGGAAAATATGATTCCAAAAAACAAAAAATACTCCTACAGTTTGAGAAAATAAGCATTGCAAATCAACACTGTAATGTCGCTATAATTAACATATTTTATTATTCTAGACATTCACAAATGTTTGTTTCTTTAATCAAACTTTTACAAATTTTATTATTTGAATGTGTTTTTCAAAAAGATATTATACTTCCTCCGTCCCCTTGAAAAGTTTTCATTTTTTATTCTCGTCCGTTTCAAAATAAAATTATCATTTTCTAATTTAGTAATTAAACTACTTACATAACGTAATAAATACCCTTCCAACTTACAATATATTACACAAGTGTCATTATTTTTATATTACATTATACTAATAGAGGTATTTTTATCTTTTTTATTACAATATAATATAATACTAATATTCAAAAATCTACGTGCAAAAAGCAAACGGAGGGAGTATTTTCTTTTTTCATAAAACATCTCATTAAACATTATTTTAATACCAAACTCAAACTAATTTTTTTCAAACTCAACTAAAAGATATATATATATATATATACTCCATTCGTCCCTTAACAACTATCTATTTTTTCATTTTGATCCATCCCATAACAAAATATTCATTTTTTTTAAGCAATTGTACTATCTACTAACTTTACAAATACCCTTTCATTTACAATATATTACACAAACATCATGTCATTACTTTTATATCATACATTATTAATAAGATTAATTTAATCTTTTTATCTTTATTTATACTATATCCCAACATAATACTAATATTTCTAAAATTTCATAAAAGAAAAACAAATTGATATATAGATATGAGACGGACGAGTATCTTTTTTTTATTTAGTAAACTGGGTTTATTTTTTCTATTATTTCTTATAAAAAATTAATATATTACACATTCATTATTATTATTATATTCCTTACACAATTTTCTAAAAAGTTTTCTTTTCAATAATTTCACAAAACAAATAGAAACTTGTAATATTAAGAAAATATTATTTCACATGAAATTATCAAAATAATATTGTAATACAAACAAGAACGTGAAAAGGGTAAATGGAGAATCAATACTGGTTTCAGAACGAGCCTCGTCTCCTCTCTCCCAATCGAATCCCGACAAAGTTTCACATGTCCAAACCAGACAGACAATCTCAGACCCCATCCCACATGATGGATCACCTTCATCTCATCCATGTCAAACCAAGTAAGAAGAAACACAGGGCTCATCTTCTCTCTCTCTCCACCTAATTATTAATACTTTTACTTACTACCATTATTTATTATTCGCTCTCTTATCATGTAGGCTACCTTCGTCGCCCAGACATGGACGATGATGGACCATACCTTCTTACAACTACGATTATTCAACTTTCCTGCCTCTTCTAGGAACCTGTCTTTATTATTTTTCTTTTTCCCCAATTTTAAATTAATTTTCATTTGGATCTGATTGAACACATTGATGTGCTCTTTAATTTCTTCAATGCCTGAAATCGTCTGCGTTGTTGACTCTAAAGATCTGATTTAATTTCTCCTGTCTGAAATTTGTTCAGTACAATGATGTCCGGTGAGGTTTCTGTTTAGGTAGAAAGGTTTTTCGGCGGTCAAATAGGCGCCGGAAAATGCTCCGCGTTGTTTATTTCGTTAGTTTTTTTTCCGGTGATTGATTGTCGGAAAAGTTGACCTACCGTACAACATTCGATTGACGTTTTGGTCCGAAAATGGCAGCGAAGCTGCTGCATTCTTTAACAGACGATAATTCTGACCTGCAAAAGCAAATTGGCTGTATGACTGGAATTCTTCAGCTGTTCGATCGGCAGCACATGCTCACCGGCGGCGGTTCTGCGCGGCGGAGCCGCCGCCTTACCCCTCGGCGGCGGTTTCCTCCTGGTATCAGTTTGGCTCCTCGTTTTTGTTAGCTTATTGCAATAAACGATTTGTTTTGGTTTAGATAAATAATTGTTTGACTAGATCCGACGCTGTCTTGGTTTCTTACAGGAAGTTCTTCCCACAATAATAATGTTGATGTTTCAGAAGGCGAATCGAACGGTTATCTGTTGAAATCTGATCCTCTGGTAATGAAATAAATGAGAGATAACCTTTCCTTGCATTGTGTTGATTTCATTTGTTTTCCGAGTGTTTTCGATATTTAATTTAGCTTTTCTTGCATTGCGTTAATGTTTTTTCGACTGTTTCGATGTCTAATTGAGCTTTTCTTGCAGATTTTCGATCTGTTTTCGAGTGTTTTGATGTTCAATTAAGCTTTTCTTACATTGCATCGATCTTTTGAGTGTTTCCTACAACAGATGCCCAATTAAATATTGATAGAAATCGAAAACAGATCGATACAATGCAAGAAAAGTTTAATTAAACATTGGAATCACTCAAAAGATCGATGCAATGTAAGAAAAGCTTTTATTGCATTGTGTCGATGTGTTTTCGAGTGTTTCGATGTCTTATTGAGCTTTTCTTGCATATTCTCGATCTGTTTTCGAGTGCATTCGATGTTTAATTAATCTTTCCTTGCATAGTGTTGATCTTTTTTCGAGCGTTTTCGATGTTCGGTTAAGCTTTTCTTACATTGCATCGATCTTTTGACTGTTCCGATGTTCAATTAAGCTTTTCTTACATTGCATCGATCTTTTGAGTGTTTCCGATGTTCAATTAAGCTCTTCTTACATTGCATCGATCTTTTGAGTGTTTCTGATGTTCAATTAGGCTTTTCTTGCATTGCACCGATCTTTCAAGTGTTTCCGATGTTCAATTAAGCTTTTCTTACATTGCATCGATCTTTCGAGTGTTTCCAATATTTAACTAATCTTTTCTTGCATTCTATCGATCTATTTCCAATTTCTATCGATATTAATCCAGCGTCCATTGTAGGAAAAGTACGCCCACAAGAGCATGTTCGAAAGGCGGAGGATGTCGACAGAATCATCGAGGGCGTCCTGCTCATCTTCGTCGCGCTCGTCGCCATTCTCGTCTCCCGATCACAACAGAGCTGCTCAACCGGAGCCAACTTCCTTCGACGAGATGATTTTCTCGGAAATTCCTTCGAGGGACACGACGACGACCATGCAGCATCCGTCTCCGCAGTTCAGTCGAACGTCGATCGATCTCCGCGACTTCGTCAAGGATTCGATGTACCGTGAAATTCAGGGATTATCGATTAAATCGAAACCTACCGAGTCGAAAACTAGCGTCGATCAAAGGGATCGAACGCCGACCGATCTCAAGGAGTCTCTTCGAGCTCTTGCGAAGCTTCAAGAAGTCTCGACACGATGTAACGAACCTCGACAGCTCTTCCGATCGTCGTCCTGCCACTTCAAAGACGCGCCGTCGTCATCGAGAGACGCTCCTCGATTTTCCTACGATGGAAGAGATTTGATAAACCGCGCGCCCTTCGACGCGGGAGACGTCTCGAAATCATCAATGAAGCTCAAGGACCTTCCGAGGCTTTCGTTAGACAGTCGGGACGGAAAATCGATCTCGGGAAATCAAGCTCGACCGAGCGTCGTAGCGAAGCTTATGGGTTTAGAAATGCTCCCCGTCGATTCCGATGATACGTCGAGCTCGAGGAAGATAGACGAAGAATTCGTCGATACGTCGAGCTCGTTCGAGAAAATCGAGCCGATCAAAACAAAGGGCTCGTGGAAGGAGCCGAGCTCGCCGCGATGGAGGAGCCCCGACGGCTCGATGAAACCGATGTCGAGAATTTCGATCGAGCCGGCGCCGTGGAAGCAGATCGATGGGTCGAAAGGATCTCAGAAACCTGTTTCGAAAAGCTCGAGACTTCCCGCTAAGGCTTCGACTGCGTCGTTTCCTTCGGTTTACAGCGAGATTGAGAAGCGATTAAAAGATCTCGAGTTTAACCAATCCGGGAAGGATCTTCGAGCGCTGAAACAGATACTCGAAGCAATGCAGGCTAAGGGATTGCTCGAAATGTCGAAAGAAGGACAGCATTCAAATTTTGCGAACCCTGGCGATGAAGATCAGATACTTTCTGGTTCGTTGCGATTAGTCGAAAACCGGAAGTTGGAGACGAGGAAGAAACTTGGTTCGTCGCAGAATCATGAATCTTCGATTGTGATCATGAAGCCGGTGAAATTAGTAGAGAAATCGGGGCCATCTTATTCGGCAGTTTCGACTAAAGATCAGATTTTTAAGACCAACGAACGATCGAACAGCTTGATTAAGGCTTCAAAGACGGCGCCGTCTGCGACGAGATTGCAGCCGTTAGGAAAAGAGTCGAATGCGGGATCGGGGAAGAGCTCGGGATCGGTTAGCCCAAGAATGCAGCAAAAGAAACCCGAGCCGGAAAAGAGATCGAGACCCCCGACGCCTACGTCTCCCGATTCGAGCAGATCGACAAGACAGCAGAACAAGCTACAAGTCGAGTCGAATTCCCCGGGGGGAGGACGACGGCGATTGAGACACCCGAATAATCAGAAAATCGACGATCGAATGAGCCCGTCGTCGTCGACTAAAGCTTCTGAACTTACGATCTCGGATTTGGTAGGAAACGTCGGTATCTTTACACGCATCGTATATCTAATTGCTTCGCTAATTCGTCGTTGATCGTCTCTTTGTTTTTTCAGAAATCGACGCTGACGATGAACGAAGATGAGTCGATCGAATCTGGGTTTGTACCTCCCGAGCACTCGAGTCCCGTTTCGGTTCTTGAAAATGTACTCGGCAAACAAGATTCGCCTTCGCGCGCTAAGTTCGCTGAGAAGACGCCCAAAGGTATTTCCCTCGGGCGAATAACGAATCAAATTGAGTCGAACTTTTCATGAATATACTCATTTTCGTTGCAGTGGAGACGTCGACGACGATGACGAACGAGACGAGCGTCGTTGCGATCGAGAATTTTGCTCCGATCTCGACGGAATCGGGCGTTGCATTCGAGATAAACCGGAAGAAGCTTCGGAGCATCGAAAACTTAGTACAGAAGCTTCAAAGGCTCAACTCGACACACGATGAGGCTCGAACGGATTACATCGCTTCATTATGCGAAAACGCTGATCCCGACCACAGATACGTCTCCGAGATTCTTCTCGCGTCGGGTCTCCTCCTCCGAGACCTCACCGATTTCAAGTTCCATCCGTCGGGACATCCCGTAAATCCCGAGCTGTTTCTTGTCTTGGAGCAGACAACGTCAAGCAATTCGTCGAAAGGGCAATGCGGCAGCGGGAAGAAATCCCGATCGGCCGCCGGAAGAATTCACCGGAAACTCATTTTCGATGTCGCTAACGAGATTCTTGCCGGAAGATTGGCCCCGAAAGGTTTGAACGTCGCCGAGCCTTGGATACGACCCGTTAAGGTTGCGAGAAAGACGGATGCGGTAAATGGGCAGAAGCTTCTAAGAGAAATATGCAACGAGATCGACGGGCTTCGGGGTTCGAAGAATTCGAAATGTAGCGATGACGTTGAAATCGACGTCGACGACTTCGACGATTGGAAGAGTATTTTGTGCGATGATGTGACACGCCGGTCGGGACGGTGGACGGAGTTCGACGAGGAAGTTTCGGGCGCGGTTCTTGACATCGAACGGCTGATATTTAAGGATCTCGTGAGCGAGATCGTGGTCGGGGACACGGTGAAAAATAAATTGTCACGGAAGTAGTTCTGCGCCGCCTCGTCGGCGATGCTCATTTGCGGCTTCTCCGATCTTGTTGGTTAACAAATTGTTTTGTTTTGAAGGGTTGAAAGATATATATATATATATATATACATACATGTGATTGTTTTCGATATTCATGAGATGTTGGAGAATCGACAACCTCAACAACTCCTTAGTGTTATAAATGTGTAAATTTGTGATAATAATTATGGGTTGGATTTATTTTTAAATTGTACTTCATCTTTACTCCTCCATTATCTTAATAAATTTACATTTGCTTTTTGTGATTTTATATTTAATATTAAAAATATTTTTATATTTGTATAATCTTTTTTATCTAAATGTCATCGTAATAAGCAAAAAGTTAATGTCAACTATTATTAGTATGTTAGTGGAAAAATATGTCTAGTTTCTATAGAAATATATCTAGTGCTTTATAGAAATATATTTATTGCCTTAAGGAAATGTTCTATAGAGTATATACGGTGCTCTATAGAATATATATGTTTGTTACTATTTGAACTTTTGATCGGTGATATCAGAATAATTAATAATTGAACATTGCGTATTTTTTTTTTTTTTTTAAAAACTTAAACGATGCTATAAGAAAAAATTTAATAAGGTGTTGTGTAACTGCCTCCTCTAATTATGTATATATGTATTACTCCCTTGTCTAAAAAATATAGTCTTATTGTGTTGGACACGAAATTTAAGAAATATTAATATTATATGAATGATTGGTAAAAAGTACGGGCAAATAACTTTTTTTCCCTTTGAATATATTAGTGTAAAAGGCAGTGACAATTGTATAATAATAATGAAAAAGTAGGGATAATTTTACAGTGATATTGTTATTTATGAAAATGAGAATATTGTTTTGGGACGTGCAAAAATAATAAACAAGACTATTGTATTGAAACGGAGGAAGTATTATTATTTTTTAAAATTTCGTTTCATTTTATTTTTAAGCTTTGTATTGTTTGGGTTATCATTAAAATGGATAAGGAATTTAACGTTGAGAAGCTAAGCCCATATTGACAATCCGTTGAAATATGATTGGGCCCTATTTGTCTTCCTAACTAATAAATACGTACCTAAATAGCAGTGCGGCAAAAATAGGCACAATCCGAAAATTCGATCCGAACTCGATCATTCATGTCTGACTCGGCCCGAATTTCAGATTAAATATGGTTTTAGAAAATATATTTATAAATATATTAACAAATGATATTACGTTATAGATAAATGCGTAGTTCAGTAGTTTAGTTTGTACTGTGTAGATACAAGGGTTCAATTCTTACCATTGGACCGTGCTCGGGTCTAAGATTTCATATCTGGTTTGAAATCTATTGAATATATCCCATATTGACTCTTAAGAATGAAAAATCATTATATCGATCACCAATTGATTTTATGTTAAAAGTTCGAATTTATATTTAACAAAATCGGACCGTATCTAACTGGTCCAAAATATTCTCGGATCGAGACGGCCCGGCCCGAAAAACCAGACCGGCCGATTTGCCAAAATAAATAGGGTGTGTTACGTTATGAATTTGTTTTCAAAATAATTTTTTATAGTATTATTTTTCTAAAAATACTATTCCTTCCGTCTTATTTAAAATTACTACCAATCTTTCAACCATAAATGCCACAATTAACTAAACACAATTTTAATATTTTAAATTAAAATAAATAAATCTTTTAGATGAAAAGTAACTTTGAAATATAATGTATTAAAATAGTTAGTATATTTTTCTAAAAAATATTAATATATAGTATGTGTTTTAAATATTTCTTGATCTTGTGAGTTAGAATATCATACGATAGTCTATATGGAAGCAGTAAGTGATAGTGATGTTTATATGCCAAGTCTCTATCACAATATCAGTTACAACATTATTATTATTATTATTATTATTATTATTATTATTATTATTTTAAATATATATTATTGTCTATTTATTTATTATGTAATACATGAAATATTATCAGCATCATATTAAATATATTGAGCATCCTACAGAATAAACACAATCGATCGATTTTTTAGAACACCACTGAAAAGTGCATTAAGGGTGTATTTTTTATTTATTTATTTATTTTTAATGAGTTTGGAAAAAATTTAGTTTGAGTTTGGTATGAAAATATGTTTGATGAGATGTTTCTTTAGAGGAAAAAATATACTCTATTTGTTCCAATACAATAATTTTGTTTACAATTTTTGTTCGTCCCAACACAATAGTCTCATTTTTATAAATAATCATATCACCGTAAAACTATCCATACTTTTTCATTATTATTACACAATTGCTACTACTTTTTACACTAATATATTCACAAGGGCAAAAAAAAAAATCATTTATCCTTATTTTTTACCGACTATCAATATAATATCAATATTCCTTAAATCACGTGCCTAACATAATAAGACTATACTTTTGAGATGGAATGGGTATTTTTTTTTTTTTCGAAAAACACATAATTTAAATAGTAAAATTTTAAAAAATTTGCTAAAAAAATAAACCCTTAATTTTAAAATAATTTATTTATTTATTTATAGTGGCACGCAAAACTAAAGGTGACTTTAATGTATCCACCAAAGTCAAAAAGAGATACATCGAATATTTGAAATAATATATATATTTTCATATTTTAATGTTTATCGAATTTCAAATCTAAAAAAATCAATTTTCTTTTCAAAGAGACGTGCACGTGTTTTAATTCTTCATCTAAAATTTCAAATTAATTTTTTTTTTTTTTTGGCGATGAAATAAAATAGTTATACCCTTTCAAAAAATTATTAATAATAATTAGATATTTACTAATTTTTACTTGATCATGTAATTTATTAAATGATATACTTATTTTATGGAATTACATTTTATTTATTAAACTAAAATACAATGACAAAAAAGTATTAATATAAACAATATCTCTAACTATTATTTAAATACTATTCATTTTTAATTTATATGCAAATATATATATATATATTAATTACAAATACTCCATCTATTCACTTGCAATAGGAACTCTACTTTATTTTATATATATTTTAAATGTATCAATATTCCTTCATTACACACCCAATCATAGCATATTTAGTAATGAATAATTATCAACAACAAACAATGACACAATTAATCAAAAATATACAATTTATGAAAAAAATCAATTCAATCTCTCTCTCTCTCTCTCTCTATATATATATATATATATATATATATCAATGTCCTATATGATTAAGATTTAAACTCATAACCGTAAAATTATGGAGTCAAACTTTCGACGCGTCGGTCAAAAGTTTACGCAGAGAGCGCGCGAATGTGGATTCCCATATTATAACAAAAAAGAATTTACTTCATCACAACTAATTTGAATTAAACACAGTTACAAATTTAATCACATACTTATAATTTCTCTGTGTTTCTTTGAAGGTTTAGATTTTGGATTGAGATCTGAATAGTAAAAATTTTGAATTGGAATAATTGTATTATGCTATATAAATAAATATTGATACGATGTTTTGAATGTAAAATCTATTTTTAGTATAATATAAAAAGTTAAAAATATGTACTTGTTTTAACCTTTTTGGATGAACAATTAGTATGAATAGTAAAAGTCTTTCAAAATCCTCATACAAAAATGTCATTTGAAAGATAAGAAAATGTTATTTTTCTCAAATATATGACGACTCAGGTATAGCCGAATTAGAATTGATAATTAAGTATACATAATAATTAAATTTACAACTTTTCTATAACTAAATTAGTCATTTGAAGTGTGCATAAAACAACTTTAAATAATCCTCCACTCTAAACATACTATAAAGATATAAAAAGTTTTTATTTTTATTTTCGAATATTAGAGCCTCACAAATATAAAATTTCTATCAAAAACTAAAAATTTTCAAAAAGAAGGCAAATTTTGAATAAAAATATATTACTCTTCTTAAATATTTCAAAAGATATTCTGAAAAGAAAAAAAACAACCAAAAATTATTCAACAAACTTTATAAATACCCAGAGAATCATGATCAAATAAAAATGGCCACATATATATATATATATATATATTTCATAATTTATTGATTGAGTTTAAACTTCACATACATTAAAATAGACACACAAATAATGTAATAGTGTAAAATTTCAATAACATATATATATATATATATATATAAACTCAATTCAATCAACTATTACTACATATCCAGAATTGCTGTAATAATCATATATATATATATATATTCTTTTTGCAAAAATAATAACCCCCTCCAACCCACCCCAATATGTAAGTTCAAGATTCCTTACTTGGATCATTATCCTCCTCGATCGAAATCATGACTTGCCATCGCCATTGTTGCCCTTTACAAGAGGTCTTCTGCCCTCGGAGCTTTCGTAATGAGCAAAGGACTTAACAGGATTAGGGTTGATCAAATTCAGGGTCGTTGTCGGAAAAAATGGAGCTGCTGCTGCTGGATTCTGCAGATTTATTTGTCTGAATTCATTGACACCATTATTATTACTATTCTCCATTGAAGAAGAAGAAGAAGTTGCAGAAGGAATAAAAGAAGCCATAGCTGCTGAAGGGCAAAAGTAGAAATCGGAGCCTCCACCACCACCACCACCACCACCAAGGGGCCGGAGATCGTCGGTCTGGCCGGAAATCGGATCCCAATGGAAGTTGTTGTAAGAAAAGTTGGGGAAGTTCAAGGTTTGGTTGTGGTTGCTAATGTTGTTCAAAGAAATTAGGGTTTGTGGTGGAATTTGTGGGATGTATGATGATCCTCCATAACCCTCATTGCTCGGTTCTTTGAAGGCGTAATTCGAGCTTAAAAAGTTCGGAAATGGTGGTGGTGGTGGTGGAGGCAGAGATTCTTGATCCATTATTGAAGGGATTATAGGGAGAGGGGGAAGTTTCTCGATGTCGGTTTGAGTTGCATCAATTAGCCAATCGACAACTTTGCTCGGCTGGCTGAATCCGAGCCGGTCTTGTAAGTCGTAGATCTGAATCGCAGTGGGAACTGAGAGGCGGATGCGGCGATCTCTAAGCCCGCGAACCGTGCACACTTTGCTGTGCCGGTCTTTGCCTCCGAATGCCCGAGAAACGCGCACGATTCTAGGGTTTTTGTAGCTTGACCAGTGCCTACTTGAGGAGTTAGGGTTTTTGTAAGAGATGGGATTGTGAAGAAGATGACGATGATGATGATTGTGATGATCATCTTCTTTCTTGGCTTGGAAGATGTGATCTTTGTTTGATCTTTGGATTTGATCATTCATGGTGGTTGTTACTATTCTTGTCTCTTCATTGACCTGAAATGGATCATGTTAAAGTAGTTAGGGCAAGAACACACACACATACACTTGTGGGTGTGTGTGTGTAGATAAGCATCAATTGGAAGGAATACCACAAAAATAATTAAGAATAAAATGAAACATAAATTGAGAAACCCTTTCTACCTCTCTCCATTTATGAATTAGGGTTTCTTCTTTTAGTTGCTTAATCAATTAATTACCTAATTTATTCATTTCAAGTTCTAGAGAATAAAAATTAATTACATATAAGCGAAAAAAGAAAAAATAAATAATCATCTTGGACAAATAAATGCCCTAATTTCAACAAATATATATATGTATATATATATTATCTTTGACAAATATGATCACAACATATCCACAAAAAATCACCATAGACATGAAGATATGTTGAGATCTAATGAATCTTCGAGAAATAATTGCCCTAATTTCAATAATAATAATAATAATAAACAAAACAAAGCGTGATGATAGATATAATTCAAACATAAAAACACAGATCTTATGTTACAACAATCAATTTATATATAACAACCCCCCCCCCCCCCCAACCCAAAAAAAAAAAAAGAAAATTGAAGAATGACCTGAATTTTATTTTCTTTCGCGGCTGCGGAACAATAAACAAGATCGAAAGAAGAAGAAGAAGAGATAAAACAGTAGCTGTGCTCTCTTTCAGCTGACTTTTGGATCAAAATGACAAAAAATCGAAAAATAAAAACTTATAGAAACCCTCTTACACACACATCTTCTTACACAAATAATTTGTCATATACATCGTTGTTCATCGAGTATTTAAGGATTTGATCGCCGAGAAGACAAAGAGAAGAAGGAATATTATTACCTCTCCAAATTGCAAGGCAAAGCAAAAGGAGAAAAGATGTGGCGCATTTGCGACCATGTGGCAACTACGCGTGACGATGCATGAAAATGAAGTTCTAGTCGGGCCAACGTTGAAACTATTGTCGAACCCCCGAAGTAAAATAAAATATATATATATACATATATATATATATATATGTAATGGTAGCTTGTTGAACTATAGTTGGCAAAATTCAATGACTTGAAACAAGGTTATTGTGTCCTTTTAATTGGTTGAGTTTTTAGTTTGGTAATAAATTTATAGTTCTTAACATAGACTACTATTATTGCTTTTTTTTTTTTTTTTTTTTGAAAAAATATATATGGAGAATTTAATAAACTCCATGGGACCAATCTAAGCTATAGTCACACAATAAAAATGAAGACAAACTGCTTTATTGCCAACTACAAAATAGCTTTGTCAGCAAAGTGTGTTATAGCTCACAATGAAAAGTGGGAGGAGTAGGTTTTATCGAAACGAAAAATCGGAATTTTGGGTCAGTATATATATTCGATTATTAATTTTCTCATGTAGTATTGTATATAAAATATATTTTTCGTTCTTTAATTTAAACTATCATATTTTTCTTGATTTTTTTCTTTTTTTTTTTTTTGGGGTTCTAAAATTTAAAGTTTACATGATCGTCTTCTTATGTTTCAAAATTAATATAAAAATGAATATAAGGTATTGAGAAATGAAAAAGTCCTATAAAATTACATGTAAAAATGATAATTGAGAGTATTTAGGGTTTAATTTATTTTCACTTGTGTCTATTAGTATTTTCAAAATTAGCTAAAAAATATTTGTTCCATTAATAATTTGTAAAGGGTATACCTTTTTTTTTTTTTTTTTAAGTCCCTCATGTGACTTCTTTTACCATTTTAGAATCATAAGTGGATAATGTATAAATATAATCTTATAATGTCACAGTTAAGAATTCATTGTCATACCAGCAAATTATCTCTTACGGAACGAAAGTATATATATTTTTAAATTACTTATTTGTCGCTTTAAGTCTCATATATGTGCGCAAAAGGATTAGAGCAACAAGTGTTAGTTATAAGATTAATTTCTAGCAAGATTAGATGATATATGTGTAATTGAAATAATAAATTCGAACTACTTCCTCCGTCTCGGAACTAAATATTCATTTGCTTTTTGCACGTAGTTTTAAAAATATTAATATTATATTAGGATATAGTAGGAATAAAGTAGAAATGACTAAAATAACCTTATTAGTACGTGTGATATAAAAGTAATGACATTTGTGTAATATACTGTAAGTTGTAAGAGTATTTGTAATGTTAGGTAGACAATACAGTTACTAAAAAAGGAAATTGATACTTTGTTATGGGACGGACTAAAATGAAAAAATGAATACTTTGTTATGGGACGGAGGGAGTATTAAGAAACTTAGAATATGCTCACTTTGTGTTTTTAATTATTTTATTTTTTATGTTAGGTATGAAAAAAGGTTGAGGGCTTCGCCACTTGGACTACACCCTCATTTCCATATATGTTATGTTAATTATATGTATATATATTGTATTTCTTATATACTACCTCCGTCCGGCTTTTAAGGTCCCATTTAATTTTTGCGTGTTGATATTTGAATATTAATTATTAGGGTAAACTGTTTTTTTTAGTCCCGTAACTGGATCCCTTTATCATTTTAGTCCTGTAAGTGGAGCCTGTCGCAAATTAGTCCCATAAGTGAAAAACTTTCGCTGTTTTAGTCCTCCGGTGCCGGAGACGCCCGCGTGGCTAGCTGAAGGTGACGTGTCCGCCAAGTGTCCCGCCAGGTCAGCGACACCTGGCGGACACGTGGATTTTTTTTTCATTTATTTTTAATTTTTTAATATATTTTTTTAATTGTAACAAATAAAAAAATACAAATAAAATTTAAAATAAATTTAAAATAAGTTTTAAAAAATTTTTAAAAAATAAAAAATTAAATGATAAATCCACATGTCCGCCAAGTCAGCGACACCTGGTGGACACGTCACCTCCGGCGAGCCATGCGGGCATCTCTGGCGCCGGAGGACTAAAATAACGAAAATTCTTCACTTATGGGACTAGTTTGCGACAGGCTCCATTTACGGGACTAAAATGATAAGAGGGTCCAGTTATGGGACTAAAAAAACAGTTTACCTTAATTATTATATCAAGACGTAGTAGAAACTAAGAAAAAAATTGCAAAAATACTTCATATTGTATCTTACAATACTAGTAAAAAGATATTTATATAAAAAATTATACAAATATAAAAATATTTTTAATGTTACGCAAAAGATAAATGTGACCTCTAGAGACGGACAAATGGAGTAATATTTATGAAAAAATCACTAAAATCTTTTTGAGTGAACAAATCCTAAATTTCAACTTTGGTAAAATAAAAGATAGAAATAATAAGGGATGCCATGCCACCTACGAACCTAATACTTAATATATACATGATTGTCAAACTAAACAAGTAGAACATGTGACCTTTTCCATAAATAATACTACCTCCGTCCCACAAGTGGTTTGGTTACAGTAGACTTAAGAATTTAAAATAAGTATTTAAAATAAAAGATAACTAATTAGTTTAATTAAAATAAAAAAAAAATTAATTAGAAATTTTAAAAGAAGATTAAAATGGGTAATCATTTTTCAAAAAAGAAAAATGACATGAGATGTCGGACGGACAGAATCGGCAATATAAACATAATAAGTGAGACGGATAGAGTAATAATAATAACTATTAGTAAAATACATAAAGAAAAGAACAATTTATGGTATATTATGTTAACATGAAAGTGGTGGTGTAATAAATATATTCTATTGGAAAGTCCAATATTGGGTGTAAGAGATTACTATTATTATACTTACACACATATATATATATATATATATATATAAACACAGAGAGAGTAGATAAGGGACCAGCTTATTGTAAGCCCTTCTTTAAAGCTTCTGCTTATTAGTTTCCAGAGGACCACTCAATATTTCCTCTCAGATTTGCATCAACCACATATATATACATACACACAACTTGTATCTATATATATATAGAGAGAGAGAGAGAGGGTGTGTGTTTGTTTATTTTTCAATTTTCTGTAAAACACTCACACCCTCTATTGGAATTTCACCCAACTCATGCAAATACGCACCCACCCACGATCGAATCTGGGACCCAACTCTCAAGTGAGGGATGTCTCACCGCTTGATCTACAAGGGTTTGACGAAAAAAAACTTGTAGGTTATGGTTCAACGTCAGGGTGACAAACAATATACGGTATTACTATATATAACACACTATATGCGTTAATATACTCATTTCGTCCCACATACCATATCCACGTTGCGTTTTTGTCCGTCTCACATTTCATGTCATTTTTTTTTTTTGAAAATGATTACACACTTTAATCTTATTTTAAATTTTTTAATTTATTTATTTTTTTAATTTTAATTAAAATAATTAGTTATCTTAATCTTAACTTAAAATTATTTATATTATAGGATAATTATTTTCACTGATACATTTTTAATTATCTACTAATTACACTCCTTCTGCGACACGGTATATGAGACAAAAAGATTAATATAACTACAATACATGATCTAACAACACATTTTGTAACAACAATTGATTTTAACACATCATATATTATTATATATTACACTTATAATTATGAACAAATAATATATATTTTTATTATAAACAACGTGTGTTGTGTATAATAAGACTAGGAGTGCTTATTAGTGTAACCTTTCCCCTAGATGATATACACTTAATATTATTTATTAGTGAAGTGTATTGATTAAAATATATCATTGATAGAGTGATATAATTGTAATTTAAGTTAGAAATATAAAAATATTTTATTAGTATCTAATGTTATATTTATTAAATTAGAAAATAAAAATATTAATTGTATATAATTCAAAATGCTCAAATGAATACATTGAATATTTTTATGGCTATATGCTCTTTGATTTTCTTTTTTGATTTTGTTTATTCAATATTAAAATTTCACATAAAAACATATTAAATTTTTTTTTTATAATTAAAAAATAACATTAAATAACTACTAGTTCATTTAAAATATATCATATTTTAATTAGTACTCCATTAAAAAGCATATTAAAACTGCATGTATTTAAAAAGATTACTCTATAATTAAGTAGCATTATTGTCACCTTAATTTAGTGGTACAAAGAAAAGGGGAATAGCTATTTGGGGTTTACCAGTGGAATTTGATTTTTGATTTTACTATTTATTTATTTATTTATTTTTAAAAAATTATCAAATTAAAAGTCTATTTTTTATTCATTATGTTACACTAAAATTAATATTCAAAACATTAAATCAATACATATTTATATCATCAGATACTGTTATATAACACGCTATAATTATGAAACAACTTCAATATATAATAAATCTGTGTGCTGTTTGTATATATTACGGGTGCTAATTTAAAAAATCATCACGGTACTGATTTTTTCAATTCTAACACCCGACCGTTCCCTATGAAGTCAATCAACACGTTCTCTTATATTGCAATATGAATTTATGAGGGGCAGTGAGACTCGAGCCCGCGAGATGTTCCTAATCATTTTACCTAAAAATTTAAAATTTAATAGATACACATTATTTATATAAATTATATATTATGAAGTCAAGAAATATATATATTTTTATAAAACATCACATTTAATAACTATTTAAATTAAGACAAAAATACAAACTCAAACTCAAATTAAACAAATCTTTGGTCGTGTTCTTTTGGAATTGGTTTCAATTTTTAGTTTTAATGTTAGTTTTGGATGTGATATTTTGTAAAAAATAATATATATAATATTTTACAATAATACATTCCATGACAAAAAAAAATTTATATGCAAAAATTAAGTATCATCAATTGTTATTTAAATACAATATTTTTAAAATTCGATCCTAATTTCTAAAAGTAAAT